TACATGTCATATAATGGAACAACTTAAAATTGTGCAAATTGTGGGTTAATGATGCGCAGCACAACCGGGTAGTTTTATCTTATGAACCGTCCCTTCAACAAATTTTTAGTAAAATCGCTAAGGAGTTGAATGTGCGCTTAACATATAAGAGAAAACAGAATATTTTCTGACTTTTATCTAATGCTAAGGACAAGTCCAATGATAAGAAAGTGCCAGATGTGTACTGCATCCCTTTGAATGACGAATGTTTCAATCGTCGGATAACATACATTGGATCTACATACAGATCCCTTGAGGCTAGAATATGGGACCACAAATATGATGTATCTAAGCAGAAGTATAGTACTGCTCTAGCCCAGTATGCTACCGAACCCAGGGTTTTCCCATGTTGGGATGAAGGCTATTCTTTTGCATAGGGCCTTCGACCAATAAGACTTATGCTCATTGGAGGCTATTGAGATTTATATAGAAACCATGAAGGAAACTGCATTAACTCCGAGTATATTCCAATTCCACAATCGTGGAAGTATTATTTACATTGCCACAAAGTACAACACAATAATTGTATGTGTAATTATTTTTCATCTTTCTGCTTTGTAAAAGAAAACAATTTCCACATCGTTTACATTGTGCTAATTTTTACAACGCTATAATAATAATTTATGTATTGCTTTATTTTAAAATAATTATTTTTATGTTGTAAACATAACGATTTTTATATCGTACGGTACATTGTTTAAATATTTAAAAATTTGGAACACAGCTGTATTCAACGATTAGAAGTTTTTAAATGATAGAACTGTTTTTTGTGTGTTTCATCCTGAGGAGGGCCTCTAAAAGACAGCCGAAAACATTCCAGCATTAAAATTTTTTGTTCATTTAGTGCTGGAATTAGCACTTAGGTGTTAATTGTTGTATATTCAATTTCTGAATATTGTCCTAAAGTGTTAAAAGTAAAGAATTTTAATCAGTCATTTAGTCAATTTTTTGTTTCTGCTGTATATAATATATATTCTGCTATGTATGAAACAAAAATTGTAACAATGTAAAAATTATCAGAACCAAAGAGTGTTAAGATTTGAATTAAAATTAGAATAAAAATAGTTAATATTAAATTCTTATTGAATAAATATGTTCATATCATTCATGTTTAATTTTTTGATATTTTTAAATTTAAATGAAAGATTATATTAAAATTTTCTTTATAATTTTGGCTCTTTTGGTCCTATTGTTATAACAACAGTCATGGCTGCTATAAGGGCAAGCCACCTTTAGGTAAATGCTGCTTTTCCACCCTAAATAAAAATTAAATAATGTTTTAAAAAATCTCCCTACATTTTAAAACAAATATTTTACTTCAATACAATAACTTTATAAGCATAAAGGAACATAGATCTATGTACAGTACAATTACAAAATATTGAAATACTGTAAACAATGATATAAATACATATTTTGATGAATTAAAAATAAAAGGTTAAATTATTAATTTTTATATACTATATTATTTGGAGAATGTTTTAAAGGTTTAAATAAATTTACTTTTTGTGAATTTTTAAAATTTAGTGTTTTGTCCTTAAAGTTGGTAAAGTATTGAGTACTTTTACTTCAAGAGGAAAATTTTTTGTATTTTTAAAAATTTTCTTTTATGCTTTTTTTTTTTTTGTAAGAAATTATAAATGTTTTCATTACATCCTTTCAAACACTCCAGGAAAAAAATTGTCTTTTTTCTCAATGGCATTGATCTTTTATTAGCGGTGACTTATCCACCATAATATGCAAGAAACATTTTAAAACATTCCAGCTATAGTTTCTTCTATTTTTTAATATTAATGTTGTCCTGGTCAATGTGTTAATTAATGAATAAAAAATTATTAATACCTATATACTGTACATACTATATACATATATTACATTTATGTGTAATAATCTGCTTTTTAAGTTATATTAACATCATACATTAAAGTGAACTTTTCTCTTTTTTCATAGCAAATCCAGTCACTAACTTTTCCACTTTTCCAAATCTCATTTTGAACAATATCATTTTTAATTGGAAGTTTGCTAACTCGGTTTATTTTGATTATCATTGCTCTTAAATAATTTTTAATTAATTTTAGTTTTGAAAAACTTTCTGCACTAGGAATATTAACATGGGAATTTTTTTAAGTATTTATAAAACTGTAGACAAATTGAAGTGTCCATTAATTATTTTTAGCACTTATTGAGCACCAGTTCCCTGTATTAGTGGAGCATTCAGGGTAGTGTATAAGAGAGCAGTTGCATCCTTTGATACTAACATGCATTTTCTTTCAAATTTGTTTATATGTAAGTATAAGGTAAAGCCAGTTGCTGCATAAACGTAAATTTAAACTGTATAACTTGTAATTTTTGAATATTTAGTAATGTAATAAAATATGATTTTTTTCCTTTCACATTTATATGAACTGATGATTCAAATGTGTGTGTGTGATTTGTTCAGTAAATTCAATTACTATTGAAATTTATTACATAAATAATAATAATTATTCTTTGTAATATAATTATTATTGTTATATTATTTGTAATAACTATTAACTAAACATATACAAGAACATATATAACATAATCTGTGTATTTTTACATTGTAGTTTTACTCAAACAACATTCAATTCATCTTAATTTTTTTAGTTGCACTCTCCTTGCTAAATTTCTGGCTGTACTACAGCACTATATAAGAGTTTGCATTATTTATGATTTTTATGTAATTTTCTGATATCAGTATTAGATTTTTATTATATCAGAATATTGTTTCCATATTTTTACAATAATTCATTAATGTTCAGTAATAAATATTTCAATAAATTAATTTCATATAAAAAGGTAAAACTGTCACTATACATTTTAATTTTCAGATCTTGTCAAAGCTGTTTATGTTGTATTTAATAAAATGTTGAAGAATTCTACCTTAAGCTTTTTCATTGGTTCATATGGATTTTCATACCATGAACATTTACTTTATTTTGATTTCTTAGAGGTTAAAATGTGAAAATATTTCTAGATTTTCCAAAATTTTCTTTACTGCTTCTTTTGTATTGTCTAAACTGTTTAGAAGTTATTGAAACTGTTTTTTAAGTGTGTTCTCTGAAAAACTAATGTTTAAACAATTACAATCAATAAATGCACTCATAGGATTGATGCCACTTTGTACCAAATAATAATATAACAAATACATTTTATCATTATGTTAAGCTTATAAATCAGCTTTGGCTCTTGTTTAAAAGCCATGTGCTACTTTCAAATTTTCATTATTTTTAATGTTAACTAAGGCATATTGATATTTAAGTGGTTATTTGCTTCAATATGCAATTCCTAATTTGTATCTGAAACTTTAGCTTTAAAGTTAGATGGAATATTTGGAAAAAAATTTTACCATCTGTTGATTGAGGAAAATTGTGCAATTGCTGTACTATACAGAAAAATGAAATACATCTACTACTACTGCATTATTTACTACTAAATTTAAAGAGTAAGGAACATTGGACAGAGAATACACGTGGATTTAAATTTAATAGATGTCTTTGTCTGTTGTTATTTTTTCCATGCCATTGTCACAGCTTTGACCTTATAAATCATCTAAATTTATGCCAAAATTGCACAGTTCTCTGTAACTACTTTTTGCTTAGTCCTGATTTATTATATCTCAACAAAACTTTAAGAGATGTTTATGTATCACTCTAGTTATTTTCTTAACATTTCTTTTTTTACATATTTCTTATGAAACATGAGAAATATGTAAAAAAATTATTCATTCAATCAATGATTGAACAAATAATTTTTCTGTGTATGATTTCTTTCAATGAAACAACTTTCAATTGTTTCTGGTCATAAAATACAATGTATTGAAGTGTACCAAAGGGAGATATGATTGGGTAGAAATGCATCATCCAATTCATTCTTATGTATTGCCGTCCAATAAGAACAGATTGGGTGCTACATTTCTACTTTTAAGTTATTTAAAAAAGAAAAAAATAATAAAATATAAACATAAATATAAATAAATATTTGTGTCTGATAAGTATAACATTTCAATTTATAAGCACCATATTGGCTTTTCTTTGTTGCTAGGCTTATTACACCATCATTCAGTACAAGACCAGCTTCAGAAAATCACATTTTATTTCCAAGAGAATGCATTTCAGACATTTAGTTCCTCATCAACTCTTTATGATATAAATATTTATGAAATGTATAGTAAGGATGAAAATCAGTACAAAACCTGAGTACAAATTGTTGTCCTTACTGTATGTTTCATAAATATTTACATCGTAAAGAGTTGACGAGGAACTAAATGTCTGAAATGCATTCTCTTGGAAATAAAATGTGATTTTCTGAAGCTGGTCTTGTACTGAATAATGATGTAATAAACCTAGCAACAAAGAAAAGATGATATAGCGCTTATAAATTTAATCCAACACTAGGCAAGAAGCGTATTATTTAAGTACAATATAACATTTATATGAATTTGAAGTTAGTATAAAAAATTCAACATATTTACTATGTATTATATATTTTAATTTTTGATTTTTGTTGCTCTTCTGATCCTTCTGCCTCTAGGCAATAGTTCAGTTGTCTAATGCATTATGGTGGCCAGGATGATAATGTTACTAAGAAATACTGCAAAAAACTGTTTTGCTTTTAAAAACTGCTAATAGCAATCATGCCTGTTTTATTTGCTATTGTTTTTTAGTGTACAATGTATCTTGTTTGTTAATTATTAGAACAACAAATTTTAGATGAATAACCAAATCATTTATTTCAATCTTAATAAAATGTGTTTGTTATAAAAATGTATTGTATAAAGATTTGTTAAGAGAACTTATTTACAGTTATAATTAAAAATTATATTAAAACAATACATTCTGCTAGTTTTTAACAGAACGTATCATATTGGCATTTGATATATTTTATATTGAAATATTTACATATAAATTATGTTAATTTCTTTAATTCATATTTTATAGAAGATGAAACAAAAGATAGTGACAGTGATATATCAATGAATGAAGAAACTGAATGTTCTGATAAGATTGATGGTTCAGAAGAATTACTACGTAATCCCAAAGTTGTTAATTTAGAAAAATTTGCAGAAAGTGATGTGATATATAACAGGTATTGCTGAATTTAACTTTTTGTTGCAAAGCATTTATTAGATGAGAATATATTAATTTTATATTTGAATTTAGTTTTACCAATATTAATTATGATAGTGATTTTATCACATGATTATAGCTTGTATTGTTTATATTTTGGTCCATATCTATAATGTATGATGACCTTTGATATATTATGAAAATACAGTTGATCCCCCCTATAACACGGGTTCCTATAATTCTAATGATGATTATGCTAAAGATACTGCTGAATAATATAAATAAGATTCATCTTATAGCTGATTTTTCCAAGCTATTTCTTTTTAATACAATACAATACAATACAATAGACTTCACTTACTATGATCAATTTAGCACTCACCTATACCAATAATGTTATCATAGAGGAAAGTAAAAAAGAAATTTAGTTGTAAAAAGTTTATTGAAGATAATTTTTTGGGGGGGAACTTTTGTAACTATACTTTGTTCTGTAACTACTGAAATTAATCTAAGATGCAATTAATATTTATTTGTTGAAAGTTTATAATTTATGAAATGTCTTTCATGCAATTGATAGCAAACATCAATTTTGTAAAATATATTTACTGTATTTACTCTCATATAAGACAAGGCTTTTATTCATTTTTCATTGCTTCAAAAACCTAGGTTGTCCTATATGCGTGAGCGAAGGATTCTTTTGCATTTTTGCAATAATTTTTGTGAACGGTATGCTTTCATTTTTTTACTGTATGCTCACCCTCTGGTGTTTAAAAACAAAAGTATTTTGTCTGGGTTGTTTCAATCGTTCTTGTGTATTGTCAGTAGTAAAGATGAATAACAATAGGAAAAGCAAAGCTTTTGAATTGAATTCAAGATATAAGTTAATAAGTTTTAATCCATTCCCATGTGAAAACAGATGATTATTCAGAAATTAGAATTTGGATAAACTCATTAATAAATCTAATTTTTTTTTATTTTGATCTTTAAAGTCACACCTTGTCCTATGTGTGAGATTATCTTATAAGCAAGTAAATACAGTATATATAAGGTTGTAGAGTGTTCATAGTAATACAGTGGTGCTCTATACTTCAAATTTAATTTATTCTAGGAGGCCATTTGAATTTTGAATTGTTCAAAGTCCAAATTGATTTTCCCTATTAAAAATAATGGAAAGTAAATTAATTCTATAAATATCAACAACTCATAGCCCGAGTAGTAAATACATCACCAAACGATCGCCTAAATATCGGGCTATAATATGGCTAATTAAATGATTGGAATAAAGTAATTTGACACTAGAGGTAGACGTTAGGCGCCATCTCTTAATTAAATTAATAATTAAAATTAAATAAATAAATCAATAAATAAATTTAGAATCTTCTGGAATAAAAGAACTGGCCCGGGGCGGGACTCGAACCCGCAGCCTCCGCTTGCCGTGCGGCGCGCTTACCAGTTACGCTACCCAGACCCTCGAGCTAGTCTTCGCTTCCAGAAGTATATTAGATTTAGATATAACCTTACTTGGTTAAATACATCACTGACTGGGGACGACTCCTTCGCCCACGGCCATAGCGGCACTCAGCCAGCTAACGCAACACCCGGCGAGGTATATATATATATA